ACAATCGTAGCATATTCACGACAGCCTGAACTATGTCTAAACTATCATATTTTACGTATTGACATTTTGTTCATTAACATGTTATTCAATAAGAAGACTTCCACGTCCAAGACAATCGAAAGTTTCAAGATTCAAGGCTCGTTAAGACCGTCAACGATTTTAAGCACCGAATCTGTGAATTCGTCAAATATACACTGCAAATTCGAAGTGACTTGAATCAAGTCTGTTTCTCAGCGCTGTCGTCCGTATCGAACTGTACACTCGTAGCGATTATAAAGGGAAATCAGAGAGAAATATAAATATGAAACTACGATATTACACGTATAGTTTTAATGAATATAAAGAACAGGGACAACACGTTTCCTTCAATCGAGAAATCTCTGAAGCACGCTGATGCTTACAGGAAATCCCGCTTTAACCCTTCGTCACTATCATCGATGTACGATCCACAGTTACGTTTGATTCATTAGATTGATATCCGAGTTATGGTTCGCGTGCAAGTGTTTGGTATTCGGACGTGGCTGAGGGAGCCAGGTTTAATCCTGTCACGTTCGTGGACACCTCGTAAAATAGTGAATCATGATGCCGCGCCACGACGATTCTTCCAACGGGGATTCAATCGGGGGAGGAATGTTTTTGTTTTATGGACTACGCGGAGGGCGAATTGATTTCGTTTGACAAACTCGACGATGGAACACTTCACGTCTCTTCTGCTTTTTTTTTTTTTTATCTTTTTTGTTTGTTTCTTTCGTTTCCTTGTTTTCTGTTCCGTCGTTAAATTCAACATATCATGTCAAGCATATGCACACGCTTCTCCCGTCGTTTTACGAGCACGTAAAGTGCTGTGTATTTTGACCTAGCCTCAATCTTTAAACATGGCAGTGGACAGTCTACGATAAGTTGGTTTAAGTTGTTTAATCCCACGAATAATCGTGACATCGTGTATTTGGATTTCGCACGTTTAATTTCGGCCCGTGAATAATATAAGGGACATGGAATGTGAATAAAGCAGAGTGGAATAAAGGAAAACGTTTCGTGTACCAATAATTCATTTCCTAAAATTTCACGAGCTCGCGAGGGATTAATTCTAAACTATTTTATTTTACGCGACACGAGCCGTAAAGATATTTATTACGCGAGGTGTGGAACAGAAACTAGAATCAAGTGACGTCAGTTAATAATTAAGATTTTATTCGGCTGAACGTTCATGTTCACGAAGTTAAAAGTAGTTAAAAGAAACGAAGTGCAGTCCATTTGTAAGTTCTACCGGGAAATTTTACATCTCGTAAGATGATCTTTTTCCAGCCTTCCGCTCTCTTCCCTTGTCTTTCCCATTCTTTTTTCAAGCTTCATTGGATAAGCGAGGGAGGATGTGGTAAGATTAAAGAGAATGAACGATACAATCGCGCGTTAAATATTTCCTGGACGATCCGAAAGTGTATCCAAGCGAAGTTGCTCGTGTGTACACGAACTCGAGAGTCGCAGAACGGTCTCATCAATCTCACACTGCGACTTCTGACGTGCCACTCGACACTTCATCGTGGCCTTTTCTTTTTCCGGTCCTCGTTTCGAAAGAGTATTCATTGTTCCGGAGTATTCACAGTTTTTCCTCTCGGTACATATTGCCGTCATAAGTTTCCTTGATACTTGGAGCTGATCGTTTGCAATGTTCAACGTTTCGAAAAGAATCTCTCTTTAAATAATTGAAGAAACAAATAAGAATAATTTAAGAAACACTCGAAGAAAATGACTTAATAATTAAAGTTCTTAATACGAAATTTCTCTCTTTAAATTAATTTGCTTCGAATGTATCATTTAGAATCTTTTACAATCTCTTTCTTTATCTTTCGAGAAATTTTATATCCTCGTCTTTAAAATTCTTTACTCGAGAAATCCAGGCTTTACCTAAGAAAGCAATACGTTGCAAATAAATCGTAGCTGAAGGGAGCGGGGGGAGGGCGGGAGGGGTTTAAATATTTATGCGTTACATTTATATCTCCGGCTTTGTATATCGTTTACGTATATCTGCTTACCGTGTCTCGTATATACCCATGGAAAACTGAAAGGCAAAATCCAAATGGTCCCAAGGACCATTTCGTTCTAAGGTGAATAGTCGTTTCATATTCCTCGTTTGACAAAAAATACGATGGCCCAAAGAGCCGCATGGGACAGCAATAAAACAGAAAGGAAACACGAAACTTCCCAAACGAGAACACGTGCTACTATAGAAGTAGAAGAAAGTGAATTTCTCTGTGGAAAATGCAAGCGAAAGAGTACAAGTCAAATTTTCGCCGGCATAACGTGAGCCGTTAGTTTTCAACAGAAAGTGTTGCGCATTTTGTGAATACATTCACGTGCAAAATCTTATCCATCTGTGCTGTTTTATAAAATTAAAAGTAACGATATCTCCGTCGGAAATATACCACACGTATCTTTGTACTGCTCAACGGCAGAAAGGAGCAATATTAAAAAAAATCAATCGACTTAACCATTGATCGAAATTTTAAGCAATAATGCTTCACAAATTTCAAAATTACACGGACAAGACGGAATTATTTTATCATTTGAAATTCATTATACTATACAAACCTTTTCAAATTCAACATTTATTCACATAAATGTTCTCGACGTATCTCCATCGTTGACCTACACACAGGAAAAAGAAAAGGAAATTGTCATCCCGCCGGCACAAAAATTTCCCCACCGATACCCGATATAACAAACAAGGATATCGAGCCGAGCCGTGTACGAAATTCGTTCAAACTGGCTCTCGCGCCAGTTTTCACCGTCGAGGGCTCGTTTTAAATTATACCGGCGCCGAATGTTTACGCTGGGTGTTGCAGAAAACGCGGAAAAACAGCCGTGAAAATTCGTTACGCTTAAATTCCCGGCGGAATCGTCTGGCCGCAGCACCTGTTAAGAGCGTTTCCAAAGTGGGCCAGGGGAGGAAAAAATTGGCCGGCCGACCGGTGGAACCGGAAATCGTGCTAGCGCCACGGTGTGATTCGCGCCGGGGCGAAAAATTTCACCGACGAGGAGCGGGAACAAGGAAAACGCAGAACCGGAGGAAATGAACGTGGGAAAACGGCGTGCAGCAAAGCGAACGCACCGCTTGACCAAAGAAATCAGTTCGAATGAACTTCACCCTCGTTAATTTGCCACGGGGTAGATGCCCGACCTATTTTCGGGCACGCCTACGCTTTTCCGAACCGTCGTGCAACGCTTCAAGAGTGGAACATCGAACACGATCGGCCTCTTTAACGTACGCAATCGTTTCTCATCGTATCTTCTCGACGCGAGCTACGAGAGTGGAAAATTCCGTAAATTCTACAGAAATGTGCTCCTTTTAAGAATATTTCTTTCTGTAGCAGGGTTCAAAGAGTTCAGAACTACAATTTGTTTTTTTTTTTTTTTTTTTTTTTTTTTTGAAATTTTAATAAAACGCGACGGAAGCTTAAATATTCTCGATTTCCAATTTGTTGGGCCAATGTATTTTTGACGAGTATTTATAGAATGTAGATAGACGATATATCGATCGATTTGTGGCACTTGTTCCATCTCTCGGAACAGATAATTTTTTTTTTAAATTAACAAGTATGTTGTAACATGTGTATTAGCAAATTAAAAAAATTGTCATACTGTATTTTTTTTAGCGAGAATGAATAATGCATGTAATCCAATTAATTTCAATTCACCCGGGTTTACTAGAAATGTGACGTGAATTTTTCCACAGAATTTTCGCTGCGCGCACGCGGGAAGATGATAATCAACGTTCGACAAAATTTTCATCGACCACAGTTTTCATCGCTATTCGTATTTTACGTGCCTTCTTCAGCAATGCAAATTTATGCTAACAGGGTAAAGCGACGCGAACAAATCGGCGAGTAACGATTTAGCGAATCATAATTTCCGACGAAAGTTGAATCGCGTACACGTGTGAAACGTGTACGTGGATGATCGTAGGAATTCGAGATTCACCCTGCGAGGGTGAAACGTCGAGCATGACTTGTGAAATTAGCAGCATTAAAGATTTCTCTTGCTTTCGAAGCAAAGCAATAATTTGTTTTGTCAAATGATTCGCTGTTTTTTCTTTCCACTTTTTGCATCGTAAAAATTACAATTTCTTACCTGCGTTGAACTTTTAATTTCAAGTTGGAATATCGATTATAGATTCAATAAAAATTTCACCGAGTATTAGTTTAGTACTAATTTAAAAGTATGTAAATATTCTGAATTATATGTAGATTATATTTCCGATGCAAAATTGCTGTTTCTCCAGCATAAACGACGACTGTGGAGAACCCAATCACTTATTACCATGCTTTTGGTAATCGCTTGATCGTATCTCGTCTATACACGACTGTTCCTTATCGTGTATCAATCTTAATCTCTGAGGGTGCAACGTGTCTACACGCAGATGAAATTACACGCGAGCATTAATCACGTTACAGCCGATAATTTCTGCCATATGACTATCCAGCAATACTAGTTACGCGCGCTATAGACTGTATTGATTCCACTGCACGATTCCTTTCCGTCTTCAATTGCGACAATATTTTAGGAAACTAACGAAATCAACGTGAAAAATTAGTCGAGATTCGAGAAAAGATTTTTAATAACATTGGTGTGAATTTCAAATAATTTCTCTCGAAAATTTCATTTATTATCACTTCGAAATTTCAATTTCAAATTTCTTTAATTCCGTGCAGGAAATTCAGCTGCCGTGGTGTTTGAAAGAACGCGACAAAGGGAATATATTTTAAATATTAAAAACAAAGCTGCGGACAGCGCTGAGTTGAAAAAGTAGATTGCGGAAAATGCGTTATAAAAAAAAAAAAAAAAAAAAAAAAA